CACACACACATACTCATTGACACACACACACACTCACTCACTGACAGACACTCACTCACTGACAGACATGCACACACTCACTGACACACACACACTCACTGACAGACACACACACACACTGACAGACACACACACACTGACAGACACACAAACACTGACAGACACACACAGCCAGACACACTCACTCACTGACAGACATGCACACACTCACTGACAGACACACACACAATGACAGACACACACAATGACAGACACAAACAATGATGGGCACACACAATTACAGGCACACACAATGACAGGCACACACACACACTGACAGACACACACACAAACACTGACAGACACACACACACACACACACACACACACACATTTACACATTCTTGCACTCAAATCATTTTATTTATTGCTCCCTACCTTTGGGAGCTGGTGTGGGCCCTCTTCTATCTGGTGATCTCCTTCCTGCTCTTCACGGCTCCCTCGCGCGCAGTTTAGTGATGCCAGAATATGACGCATGACGACAGACGCAGTGAGGAGCAGGAAGGCTGAGCTCTCTCGCTGCCGCCAGGAGCCTCTCCTCCCCAGCCGGGTAACTTTTAGCGGAGTAGGCATCTGCAATGTGGAGAAAGCAGGTGCCTACTCTGCTTTAACAGTAAGCATGCACTCAGGGCTCGCCGGGCCGCAAAGATGTCTATTTTGGGCCGTGAGTTTGACATGCTTGCTCTATAGTAAAGGAAAAGATTGTACAGCAAATGCTGATGCCAATCATTGATTATGGGGATGTAGTATATGCACCTGCACCCCAAACCTACCTTAATAAACTTAATACATTGTATAACTCGTTCTGCCGATTTGTGCTGCAATGTAATTACAGAACTCACCATTGTGACATGCTAAATGAAAAAAAAACGCACCCTTCATCTTTCCAGCCTTGTGTTTAAGAGCTTTTCTGGGAAGCTCCCACCCTACCTGAGCAGAATGCTCTCCCAGGCTGTTCCCACCTCCCATAACCTCCGATCCAGTACCAGCACTTTAGTCTACCTCAATACAAAAAGAAAGCAGCCCGATCCTCCTTCTCATACAGGGCACCTCAATTATGGAATAACTTCAGGGACACAGTCAAATCTTCATTCAATCTAAAAATCTTTTAAGAGATCTATGGCATTATACCTCAGCACAGAATGCACCTGTCATCAGCGACGTTTTAGCCGCGAGGCATACAAGGCATTTGCCTTGGGCGGCATTTTTTAGGGGGCGGCACAAAACGCGGCCCCAAATGCCCAGGGCAAATGCCTTGTTAGCCTTGCGGCTAACTGACATGCCGGGCGCTGGGCGGGCGGCTGGCGAGGGAGCTCTTCCTCTGAGCACTCTGCTCAGCTCCTTCGCGCACCTGCTCTGTCTCTCTCACCCTCTCACTCTCTGTTCCTGCTCTGTCTCTCTAACCCTCTCACTCTCTGTTCCTGCTCTGTCCCTCTCACCCTCTCACTCTCTGTTCCTGCTCTGTCTCTCTCACCCTCCACTCTCTGTTCCTGCTCTGTCCCTCCCACCCTCTCACTCTCTGTTCCTGCTCTGTCCCTCTCACCCTCCACTCTCTGTCCCTGCTCTGTCCCTCTCACCCTCCACTCTCTGTCCCTGCTCTGTCTCTCTCACCCTCTCACTCTCTGCTCCTGCTCTGTCTCTCTCACCCTCTCACTCTCTGTTCCTGCTCTTCCCTCTCACCCTCCACTCTCTGTTCCTGCTCTGTCCCTCTCACCCTCTCACTCTCTGTTCCTGCTCTGTCCCTCTAACCCTCCACTCTCTGTCCCTGCTCTGTCCCTCTCACCCTCCACTCTCTGTTCCTGCTCTGTCCCTCTCACCCTCTGTTCCTGCTCTCTCCCCCTTCACTCTCTGTCCCTGCTCTGTCCCTCTCACCCTCCACTCTCTGTTCCTGCTCTGTCCCTCTCACCCTCCACTCTCTGTCCCTGCTCTGTCCCTCTCACCCTCCACTCTCTGTTCCTTCTCTGTCACTCACCCTCCACTCTCTGTTCCTGCTCTGTCACTCACCCTCCACTCTCTGTTCCTGCTCTGTCCCTCTCACCTTCCATTCTCTGTTCCTGCTCTGTCCCTCTCACCCTCCACTCTGTTCCTGCTCTGTCTCTCACCCTCCACTCTGTCCCTGCTCTGTTCCTCTCATCTTCCACTCTCTGTTCCTGCTCTGTCCCACTCACCCTCCATTCTCTGTTCCTGCTCTGTCCCTCTCATCCTCTCACTCTCTGTTCCTGCTCTGTCTCTCACCCTCTCACTCTCTGTTCCTGCTGTGTTCCTCTCACCCTCCACTCTCTGTTCCTGCTCTGTCCCTCTCACCCTCCACTCTCTGTTCCTGTTCTATCCCTCTCACCCTCCACTCTCTGTTCCTGCTCTGTACCTCTCATCCTCCACTCTCTGTACCTGCTCTGTCCCTCTCACCAGGGGCGTTTTAGCCGCGAGGCAAACAAGGCATTTGCCTTGGGCGGCATTTTTCAGGGGGCGGCAAAAAAAGCCACCCCCCAAATGCCCAGGGAAAATGTCTTGTTAGCCTCGCGGCTAACTGACATGCTGGGCGCTGGGTGGCATTGGCGGGTGGGCGGCTGGCGAGAGAGCTCTTCCTGTGAGCTGACTGCTCAGCTCCCTCGCGCGCCGCAGAGTGAGGCTGGGAGCCGGAAGATGACGTCATATTCCGGCTCCCAGCCTCACTCTGCGGCGCGCGAGGGAGCTGAGCAGTCAGCTCACAGGAAGAGCTCCCTCTCCAGCCGCCCGCCCGCCAATGCCGCCCACCCAGCAGCCACTAGACCACCAGGGAGATAGAGAACCCCTTCCCTCCCCAGCACTCCCAAAGGTAAGGAGGCTGGAGGAGGGGGGGTTAAAAATGTACATGTGTGTCTGTTAGTGAGTGTGTGTGTCTGTTAGTGAGTGTGTGCGTGTCTGTTAGTGAGTGTGTGTGTGAGTGTGTCTGTTAGTGAGTGTGTCTGTGAGTGTGTGTCTGTGAGTGTGTGTGTGTGTCTGAGTGAGTGTGTCTGTTAGTGAGTGTGTCTGTTGGTGAGTGTGTGTGACTGTTAGTGAGTGTGTGTGTGTCTGACTGTTAGTGTGAGTGTGTTTCTGCTAGTGTGTGTCTGCTAGTGAGTGAGTGTGTTTGTGTGTGTGTGTGACTGACTGTGTGTGTATGTTTGCCTGTGAGTGTGTGTGTCAGTGAGTGTGTGTGTGTCTGCTAGTGTGTGTCTGCTAGTGAGTGAGTGTGTTTGTGTGTGTGTGTCAGTGAGTTTGTGTTTCTGTTAGCTAGTGTATGCGTATCTGTCAGTGAGTGTGTGTGTGTGTGTATT